CTCTCTCCTCTCATTCCTACACCAAAGTCATTTTTATTTTTTTAGTTTTTTTTAGTTAAACGTGCATTTTGTCACTTTTCCGGTGGAGGCTCCGTCACACGATTTTCTACATTACTGCTGTTATTTCTTTGTCTGGAATGTTTTTCTAGGTATTTTTGAGGTATAAAACCACCTGTCATTGAGTAAATGCAAAGTAGAGCTGTTTAATGCCATACTGCGGAACATTTCAATGACATATCCATAGAAACGAGGCAAGTAACGGACCCCCAATCAAAAAGTTAGTGCAAATTTTACTTTGTTTTCCAAGTGTCAGTCTCGCTGGGAGTTTCAAATGACATTATAACTTTCTATAGGACTTTATTATTTATTATTTACAGATGAGAGCAGCTAAAATTTATGTTAAAACGCAGATTTTTGTTGTAAAACTGTGAGTTCTTGGGTCCACTAATAAACACATAAAGTAGAGTAAAACAAACACACAAAAAAGTTAAAAAAAAATACCATCAAAGCATAAAAAAATACAAAACTAACCAGGACATCTAGTAGACGTAATAAAATAATAATAATAAAAAAGGACGCCATGTTTTCTGATTATTTTGCGTATTTTTTTCCATTGGAAGTGGTCCATGCTTGTTTTAATTTAATTGCTAAATTAACACGAGCAAATGTTGTTATGTCCCAGGTGTAAAAGATGAAAATAACACAGAGATTAAATTCATTAACAGATGTGACCTAATGGGATTTCTCTGTGTATCTAAGAAGAGAAAGACAGAAGAAGGGCAAAAAAAATGTGAAAATTAAGAAATATAAATATGTACGATAACAGTTGTTGGAGGTAGAGTAACGTTCAACCTCCACAAAGGCAGCGGTTCAATCTCGCAATGATAAAGACTTAAACGCAAACTCAAGATCTTCTCATTTTAAAAGACGTACACACTTATTTTAAAATATTTCACAATAGTGTAAAAATAAAAATACTAAAATAAAAAAATATAAATAAGAGTAAATGTTGTACTACTTTTGAAGTGGTGCAGAATCTCTTAAAATATGGATTAAAAAAAGAAAAAGTGACCCAGATAGACATAACAATTTACATATTTTTGTAATTAGCTCATTACTGGCCTGTATCTGAGAATAATCATCCTAAAAATATGTTTACCGATTTAAGGAGCACTGGCAAAATTGAAAAAAACATAGAAAGAAATGTAAAAAATCTAAATATATACTATAACAATTGTTGGAGTTTGGCCTCCACAAAGGCAGCGCAGTTCAATCTCGCAATGCTTAAAATATACAGTTGTGCTCCTCTTTTTAACAGACATATAAACCTATTTTAAAATATTTCACAATAGTGCAAAAATGAAAATACTAAACCAAAAAAATTATAAATATAAGTAAATTTTGTAAAAAAAATCTCTCTAAAATATGGATTTTAAAAAAGAAAAAGTGACCCAGATTGGCATAAAAATTTGCATATTTTTGTCATTTGCTCATTACTGGTCTATATCCGCGAACATTCAACCCAAAAAATAATAACTGACATTGTAGCTAACAGCGTTTTCCTCGTTCTTACTTCTCAAACTTTTGCGTATCGTGGCATAGTTAGCCAGTTAGTTGTAAAAAGAAAAAAAAAACTCATAATAACTTCCAATTAAATTATGCTACGCTAACACAATCCCACTCAAACTTTGGCAGAGTTTTTTGTTTAAATGACCTCCAAACCAGCCATTATTATTTGCAGATTATATTCGTGTAGTCAGGAACAATTGAGCTGGCCCGAGCATTCTGGGAAATCATCTCACAACGCCGCGGGTGACAGGAAGTCCCTAAAGGCATCTGAGACGTTCACTGACACTTAGTGAATTTTCCACGGGAGAAGACGCGAGCGAAAAAGTAGAAAATGTTTGGTAGGGGATGTCAGTTGTCCTCACCTCAACGCCAAGTCCGATCGTCGTGACAACCCCAAGTTTGCTAATTAGCGGCGGTTGAGCTCGCGCTAACAGTCATTTGACAGATTGTAGCTCATGAATATGTCAAAAATACGTGGAAAAAAAACAGGAGACCACTGCAGTTTTGTGGTTGGATTTTTCACATTTTGACAAGAGTCTCAGGACAGTGTCTGTTAAATGTCTCATCGTACTTTTTACCATAGACCGTATCGTCAAAACCGGGTCTAAACCGGGACTAAATCAGGACTGAACCAGGACTGAACATGGACAAAACCTGGACTGAATTACTAACAGTGCTAAGACATGGAAAATTAGGGCTGAACCAAGGACTGAACCAGGATTTAACCATCTAACTCAAGGTCTAAACCTGGTCTAAACCTTGTCTAAACCTGAACAACAGCAAAACTAAACCAGGACTAAAACCAAGGTCTAAACCCAGTCGAAACCAACACCAAACCAAGACTGAACCAGGACTGAACCTGGACTACAACAGGACTTACCCCTGGTCTAAACCTTATCTAAACCTTGACTACACCAAAACTAAACCAAGGCTAAAACCAAAAGTCTAAACCTGGACTGAACCAGGACTGAACCAGGACTGAACCTGGACTAAATTTCTACCAGTACTAAGCCATGGAGAATTAGGGCTGGACCAGGACTTAACCATTGTCTAAACCTGGTCTAAAACTTGTCTAAACCTGGACTACAGCAAAACTAAACAAAGACTAAAACCAAGGTCTAAACCTGTCAAAACCAAACCTAAACCACGACTGAACCGGGACTTAACCATTGTCTAAACCTGGTCTAAAACTTGTCTAAACCTGGACTACAGCAAAACTAAACCAGGACTAAAACTAAGGTCTAAACCCAGTCAAAATCAAGCCTGAACCAAGACTGAACCAGGACTAAACCAGGACTAAAACAAGTCTAAAACTTGTCTAAACCTGAACTGCAGCAAAACTAAACTAGGACTAAAACCAATGTCTAAACCTGGTCAAAACCAGGTCTAAAATAGGGCTGAACCAGTACTGAACCAGGACTACACCAGGACTTAACCATGGTCTAACCCAAGGTCTAAACCTGGTCTAAACCATGTCTAAACCTGGATTACAGCAAAACTAAACAAAGACTAAAACCAAGGTCTAAACCTGGTCGAAACCAAACCTAAACCGCGACTGAACCAGGACGAAACATGGACTAAATTATTACCAGTATTAAGCCATGGAGAATTAGGACTGAACCAGGACTGAACCAGGACTTAACCATGGTCTAAACCAAGGTCTAAACCTGGTCTAAGCCTTGTCTAAACCTGGACTACAATAAGCCTAAACCAGGACTAAACCAAGACTAAACTAGGACTGAACCAGGTCTTAACCACGGTCTAACCCAAGGCCTAAAACTGGTCTAAATCTGGACTACAACAAGACTAAACCAGGACTAAAACCAAGATTTAAACTTGGTCAAAACCAAGCCTAAACCAGGATTGAACCAGGACTAAAACAAGGTCTACATACTCGGTCTAAACCTGGACTAAACCAAGCCCGGGGGTTAGTTTTGCAGTGGTCTCATACATTTCCCAGACTTGGACTTCACATGCTGTTACCTGCCCGCGCTCACAGTCATTTGTCACATTTCAGCTCATGAATATGTCAAAAATACGTGGGGTAAAATTGGAGACCACTGCAATTTTGGGGCTGGATTTTTCACATTTTGACACGAGTCTCAGGACAGTGTCGGTTAAATGTCTTATCGTACTTTTTTACCATAGACCGTGTCGTTAAAATGGGAGACAATCATGAGCTGGTCCAGAGCAAGACGAGTGCTCTGTCAGTTTTAAAGATTTTAGTCAAGATATTTTAACCCATCCACCCACTTTTTTTTTTTTATCAGAAAAGTTAAAAGTTTGAAAAAATCTTGAATAATTATACAACTAAACCAGGTCTTGAACATTAAACCAAGTCTAAATCTGGACTAAATAAACCCTAAACCACGACTAAATATAAACCATGTCAAACTACATATGAACCAGGTCTAAACCAGGACTAAACCAGGACTAAAAATGGACCAAATTACTACCAGTGCTAAACCATGCAGAACTAGGACTGAACTAGTACTAAACTAAGACTAAACCAAAGTCTGAAGCAAGTCTAAACCAAGATCTAAACCAAGCACTAAACCAGGACCAAACCAGATCTAAACATGAACTATATGAGTATTAATTCATGTCATGCTGTCAGGAACAGTTGGTCCAATCCGGGCCTAAACCAGGTCTAAGCCAGGACTAAAACAATGGCAAAATCTGGTCTAATCCTGAACTAAACCAAAACTAAATTAGGACTAAACCAGGATTAAATAAACACTAACCCAGGACTAAATCAGGGCTACAGCAGGACGGAAACAAGGGCAAAATCTGGTCTAAACCAAAACTAAACAAGGACTAAACTAGGACTAAACCAGGACTAAACCAGGACTAAACTAGGACTAAACCAGGACTGAATAAGCACCAACCCAGGACTAAATCAGGGCTAGACCAGGAGTAAAACAAGGGCAAAATCCAGTCTAAACCAAAACTAAACCAGGACTAAATAACCTCTAACACAGGATTAAACCAGGGCTAGACCAGGACTAAAACAAGGTCTAAACCCGGTCTAAACCAAAACTAAACCAGGACTAAAGAAGGACTAAACCAGGACTGAACCAGATCTAAAAAAAATAACTATCTGAGTATTAATTCATGTCATGCTGAACTAGGTAAAAACCAGGCCTAAACCAGGACTAAGCCAGGACTAAAACAAGGGCAAAATCCGGTCTAAACCTGAACTAAACCAAAACCAAACCAAAACTAAACCAGGACTAAACTAGGATAAATAAACACTAACCCAGCACTAAATCAAAGCTAGACCAGGACAAAAACAAGGTCTAAACCCGGTCCAAACCCGGACTAAAAACCCGGTCTAAACCCGGTCTAAACCTGGACTAAACCCAGACCATGTGTTAGTCTTGCAGTGGTCTCATATTATTTCCCCGTGCTTGTGTTTCACGTGCGTTTACCTGCGGGTCCCTCTTGTTGTTGGGGCCGTGCTCATCGCGGCTCACACTCTGGCTGTCAGCGGCGTGCTCTGGCCTGGAGGGGGCGCTGTGGTCTGGCCTGGTGGGGGCGCTGTTGTCTTTGGGGGACGAGACTCGGTCCTCGGAAACCTTCATCGTTTCACAGTCGACCGAATCGGACATTCTCATCGCAAACGTTTAGTGGGAGGTGACGACGAGCGCAGAGAACCTACAGACAAGAAAAAAAACCAAAAAAAAACAGATAAGAATCGAGTTTTTGATTACGCTATTTTCTGATCTCTGTTATCATTTTTCCTCGTCACAAACAGACCTGGAGTGTGTTTTGCTTCATTCTCACATGTTTAACGCACAAATCCTGCATATTTAAATACTAGAAAACACTGTTCCACCTTGTGATGTCATGTGGTCATACAGGAAGTGCTCTGTAATGTTTTAAGATTCCACACACCTTCACTAGAATCATTTGGATAATTTCAGAGCTGGAGTTGCCGATTTCTACTGAACAAAAAGGTAAAAGGAGCTGTTAAGTTAAAAAGTACAGCTTCATGACCTTCACCTTCATGATAAAGGTGAACAGAGTATTTTAAGCTTTGGAGATGTAAACAAACTACAGGGATTCCACTTTTTCACTGACAAAATTTCAAAACTTTTCCATGACTTTTTCTAGCCAGGCTGGCACCACCTAGTGCCTCTGCTCAATTTCATTTCTTGCCAGCGACTAGGTCAGGAATCGGAATACACTAGACGGTTTTGCAAGAACCCCGGAAGTTGTAGATCGCGCACCGGCCAATCAGAGAAGAGCTGTGAGGCCGTGACGTCAAACTCAAGCGTCTGTCTGGGTCCCTTTTGTGGTGCAGCACAACAGCAAACAAAGCAGTCGAGATGGACATAGACGAAGACAGACATTCTGTGTTGGCAACGATTCCCGATATCGAGGATTTAAAGCCGAAACAAAGAGAATAATTGGTGAATTTTATCAAGAGGAAAGACGTTATTGCCCTTCTTCCTACGGGATTTGCTGCGAGGTCAGACGGTTTCCTCAAAGTGAAACCGGCTGATAAATCAGGCTTGACTTTTTCAAGACCTAAAGTGACTTTCCATGACTTTACAGCGCCTACATGTGTAGAACTGATCAGGCTTTTAGGGCTAAATATGAAATGTTAACCCTTTCCACTCACCTTATAGTTTGGTATTTTAGTTTTTTAACATTCAAAATACTGTCAGTGCATTTATTGTCGTCTTTTTAAAACAAAAGGCACGTTTGGAAATAATCATAATAGCCTGATGATAAGTTAACAGAACGCTGTAGTTGCGTGAAAGAGATACTAAAATTCCATGACTTTTCCAGGATTTCCATGACCGCGGGAACCCTGAAACTCATAATAAAGGATTCCTCAAGTGTGAAGAAAACAAAACACAACTCCAGGTTTGTTTTTGATGAGTTAACAACATCATAACACGACTTCAAGCTCACAAGAGTCAATTTCGCGTAGTGTAGCATTTTGTTCATATTTCTGATGTTCAAATCCTGGGTTTTATCTGAAGTGCACTATTTTTTCTGTTTTTGAACTTAACATTTTTGAAAGCGTTAAGTGTCCTCACAATACGAACTCGGATAAAAATGTTTTGTTTTCTTCAACACCAAAATTTTGTAGTTTTTTTTAAAGCCAGTACATTCTGAGGAACATTTTAGCCCAAAAAAATAGACTCCTCCTTCTCCGTGAAGAATGTTCCGAAGTGTGGTTTTAATTCTTTTTCCATCGAATCATGTTCCATATAGATCACTCTAAAACTATCTGTGATTTGTTATTTATCTTTTTTCAGTATCTTCACTAGTTTCAGGGCAATTTCGGGCACTTTTTCCTCTTCCAGCTCAAACTTACTGACATTTCTTTGCATTTATCTGGGCTTGGTACTGGCAAACTTGTCCATTTAATCAAACTAAACCAGAAATCCCACACACAAAGTGCAATCACCAACCCATTTACCCGTGTATTTAAATCATTACTGGACAAACCACAATGTAAAAGGAAGCCAGAAACTGAATAAACACGTTAACATAATAGAGACGCCATTTAGAATATTTGAATCTCCGCAAAAAATCCAAAATGGACACCAAAGAAGGGACCGGGAAATCGCGGGAAAGGGTGACAGAAGCGCATTCACTTGTCGGCTTTGCGGGGCTGCAGCTGCTCTGTTCACAACAATGGGCCTGATTGGACAAGATGCAGCAAAAAAGAAGAAGGAGAAGAAGACGACGAAGACATTTTGAAAACCCTCTGAAACGTGTGGGCTCTCGGGAGAAACAGGGGCTGACGCACAGATATCGGCTTTCTCAGAAGAAGAAGAGAAAGAAGAAGAGGAGGAGGAGGTTTTGGTAATTTAGGCGTTCGTTGCGTGACACGGGCAAAGCAAGTAGAGCTGCTCCAGGTTTATGTAATAAGCCAGTTCCCAACGTGCTGAATAAAACATAAAGGGATGAGGAGTCAGCATACTTCAATTGGCGGTACTTTTTTTTTTAGGTGCACTAAAGTCACTTTTTTGGTGAAAGGTCTGAAAACGACGCAAGTGGTTACAGAAGCAAATTTGGAGGCAGTTCCACACGAGGAAAAGGAATTTATTTACCGACAAAATAGAGAAATAAAACCTCCAGGATCATGAAGAGTGGGTTTAAAATTAAAAGTGAGCTTTATGGTCAACTTCTTCAACTAAACCAGGTCTAAACCAAGATCTAAATCCAGGACTAAACCAGATTTAAACATGGACTATCTGAGTATTAATTCATGTCATGCTGAACCAGGTCCTAAACCAGAACTAAACCAGGACAAGGCCAGGACTAAACCAGGACTAAATCAGGGCTAGACCAGGACTAAAACAAAAGACAAAATCTGGTCTAAACCAAAACTAAACCAGGACTAAACCAGGGCTAAGTAAGCACTAACCCAGGTCTAAAACAAGGTCTAAACCAGGACTAAACCTGAACTAAATCAAAACTAAACCAGGACTAAACCAGAACTAAACCAGGACAAAGCCAGGACTAAATAAACTCTAACCCAGGACTAAATCAGGGCTGGACCAGGACTAGACCAGGATTAAACCAGGACTAAATAAGCACTAACCCAGGACTAAAACAAGGTCTAAACCAGGACTAAACCTGAACTAAACCAAAACTAAACCAGGACTAAACCAGAACTAAATAAGCTCTAACCCAGGACTAAATCAGGGCTAGACCAGGACTAAACTTGAACTAAACCAGGGCAAAGCCAGGACTAAACCAGGACTAAATAAGCTCTAACCCAGGACTAAATCAGGGCTAGACCAGGACTAAAACAAAAGACAAAATCTGGTCTAAACCAAAACTAACCCAGGAATAAAACAAGGTCTAAACCAGGACTAAACTTGAACTAAACCAAACCTAAACCAGGACTAAACCAGGACTAAGTAAGCACTAACCCAGGACTAAAACAAGGTCTAAACCAGGACTAAACTTGAACTAAACCAGGGCAAAGCCAGGACTAAACCAGGACTAAATAAGCTCTAACCCAGGACTAAATCAGGGCTAGACCAGGACTAGACCAGGACTAGACCAGGATTAAACCAGGACTAAATAATCATTAAACCAGGATTAAAACAAGGTCTAAACCAGGACTAAACCTGAACTAAACCAAAACTAAACCAGGACTAAACCAGGACAAAGCCAGGACTAAACCAAGACTAAAACAAGGTCTAAACCAGGACTAAACCCTGAACTAAACCAAAACTAAACCATGACAGTTCCATATTAGGAAAAGGAATTTATTTCTGGACAAAACAGAGACATAAAAACTCCAGGATCATGAAGAGTGTGTAAATATGAATATTTTAAGAACAAAAGGACAAAACTCACTGCAGCATTTACTGAGAAAAAGTTTCAAAGTTCAAAATTTTAAAGTTCAAAATTAGCTTTATTGTCACTTTCTTCAAATGCACTAGTAATACGTTTCTCTCTGTCCCGTGCGTAGACAAAACAGGACAGACATTAAAGTCCAAGAAAAGACAAGATTTACGTGCACAGACACAACAAATACAATCATATCATCAGCTTTTCTTCATGGAGATGTTATTGTTTTGCCTGGAATGCCCCATGGCGTGACATTAAACACATCTATCTAGCTTTTATTATTTTATTTTATGTTTTTATCGCCCAAAATACCTAAAATCCTTCTGTGAGCAGGGACGCCTCTCCACAGATCTGAACTGTAAAGTAGCGTAGTGCTTGTCTCTCTCGTTATAGTTCACCTTTAAATCTTTAATTTAGCGCAGGTTTTTCAGCAATACTGTACATTTTGAAGATGTTTTTGAGGATAATGATGCTTTTTCGTTTTAGTTTTAGTGTTAATAACAAATTAGTTTCAGTATTGTCGTGTTTATTTTCTCCGGCGATGCGTCACACTTTGAAATCCATTATCGTAACAGGCCCATTGTAAAAACGCGACCTCCCTGTGTGAAGTCACGGTCTGAGTTCATCCCATCGCCCCGCCCTGATCGTGTAGAGGTCCCATGAAACGCCCAATGATGAAGAGGAGGAGGAGGAAGAGGAGGAGGAGGAAGAGACATCTGGCACGCACCAACATGATTAATAGGTTAATTAGTGCCGGGCTCCTCACATTCACAAAGCAAAATCTCCAAAGCAGAAAAAAAAAAACAAGACAGGCTTCACTCTGAATACTGTTTCAGATTCGGTCCATTTGCTCTGCAGTGGGTTTGTCGAAGAAATTAAAGCATAAAACGTATTAATCGAGATTAAATATACTGTGATATCAAAACTAGATACTCGTTTGAACAAGTATCAGTATTGGGTAAAAACTTGGACTTTCCTGAACAGTTTTAACATGGTCTGGATCTATACAAAGGTTTTAGCTTCCTGTGATAAGCAACATTTTGAGCTGTTCCCATTTAAATAATGTCATATTTTGTTTAAAATTTTCATCATTCTGAAACCCACTGATATCTCAGTTAGTATAAGATTACATGGATATACGTATGTAGCATTTTGTTTTGAAAATTATATTCTATTGTCTAAAAAAGGTGTTTAATTATCATGGTAGTCATGGAATTGGTATCATGTTAGGGTGGGGCAGTAATAGGGTATTACTGTATCCCGCGGTATCAAAAAGTAGCAACGATATCAGTCTGCAGTGCATAAGGACATAATATAACATTATAATT